CTGCACCCAGCGTTTGTGGCCGTGGGGATGCCAGGGCCAGCTCACTGGGTGGGGGCTCCTTCCCGGCCCCCCCGGCTGCACACAGAGGCCTGTGGGCTGCGCACACCCCGTGCACCCCGGGCCCAAGGACGGGGCTCTCGCGTCACTGGAGGGTGGCGGCCGTGCAGGGTCCGAGTTTCAGGGCATTTCAGTTATGGGGAGCTGGGCTTGAGCCCTGACACCCCTGGACATTGGAAGTTGGGACCACACAGCCACTGGGGCACAGGCATGGGCCCTGAAGGAGAAGTGAGTGGAGGTGCCAGGTGAGGAAGGGCACAGGGGAGGCGGGGTGGGTGGGGGCAGGACACGGTGGCATTCCAGGTGGAAGGAGCGCCAGGCAGGGAGACGGCTGAACTGGAGGAGGCCGCAGCACAGGGTGCCTGCCCCCAGCCCAGCTCATCCGCCCCCAGACTGTCACCTGGGAACGGACAGCAGGGAGCGTGCGGAGGAGCTGAGAAGAATTGTGCAGCCAGAGGGACATTCTCGCTGCCTTCCCGTCCCGGCTCTATTCTAGCCAGCAGCTTCCATTTCTTTCTGCATTTAATGCGCCTGAATAATGTGACAAGGTAGACACTGGGAATTTACTGCGCTCTGCAAAGCCGCTCAGTTCCATTAAGATCTCGGGATCTCCGCCAAGGCGCGACGACTTCCCCCTCAGGCATCTTCTCCTGATTGCAATTTACGACGCCCAGGCCTCTGTGGGGCCCCCTAACCTCCAGAAAAACGCGCTGTTCCCCAAAAGTGGCCGTTATTCTCTCTAAGGAAAGTGACTGGGCATCTTCCAGAAGATTCCCTCAGCCTGATCCCCCTCCTCTGGGGACCGGGACACAGCCAGGAGAGGCTGCCGTTGGCTTTTCCAGTGGCCACCGACCCAGGGGGTCCGCTGGGAGCAGGTGGCAGCTGCCTGACCTTTACCTTGCCCAGCTGCAGCCCTGGGTGGGGCGGGGCGTGGGCACTGAGTGTGGGGGAGACAGTGAAGAAGTGGGAGACTCCCTCTGGCTACCTGCTGGGAGCCCCCGGCCCTGTGGTCCTCCAGGCCCATAGTTTGGATGCAGCCCCACCTTTTGCTGCCACGTGACTCGGGCCAGATGAGTTCACCTCTCTGAATGGCATTGTTTGTCTGTAATACAGGCGTCACATCCCTCCCTCCTGTGGTCGCTGGGAGGATGGGTT